AAACCTGAAGTTTGAGAGTATAAAGACTTGTGTGAGATTTTTTTGATACTAATTTCCAAATAAGCAACATAAAAAATCAGTGATGATTAGTTTCTCATCAATTTCTTGTTAATTTAGAAGCATACTAAGAAAAATCAATGACCAAATTTCGTGAAACCAAATCAAAATATATAGAACAATCATTTAATTTGATGCTTCCATTAACGCAAAGCAAAAAATGGTGATAATGGGGATGAAGAACAATTCGACTTTGAGACCAGCGCTTTTAGTTTTCTTGTTTTCCTCACAAAAACAAAAACAACTAATATTATAGAGAAAAGAATAGGCAACATTGATGGAGTCCGGAGATGACAATACCTGCAAATCGAAACCTAAAGACGAATATGGTAGGTTTTCGTTTTAGGGTTTGATCATTCTCTTAGGAGGATTAAACCCTGGTTATTTAAAATTTGAAATATTATTTGATTTCCTACGGACCAAGCTAAGATGCAGTAACCTCCATTTGCATCTTTCATTCAACTTCTCCTTCTTAGTCTGATCAATCTTATCACCCCCACCCCTTCTTCCTTGTGTATTAGTTAACGATATTTTTTTTTGTTGGTTGACATTTGGAATCTCCAATAACCTAAAATAAAATTGTTTATTTTCTGGTGTAGTCCATGTGGTAATGTTTGCACCAGGTGCGGATTTCAGTGATGGCGGATTCAACTTGCAGTGGTCATATGATTTGGAATTGAGCAAGATTACTTCCAAAATAACAGTCCAAATTGTCGGATATTATCTATTGGTTTCTTGCAACCTCGATGGAAAACAATACAATTTCAACCAATAAAAGTATTTTAAAAATTAATTAGGGTTGTCTAAATGGTAAAATAGGGTGTCTTTTCAACCAACCCCTTCTTTTTATATTGACTTCATTTTTGTTTTTAATAATTTCATTATATGGGTCTAATCTTTGCAGATTTTGTCCTGTTGAATATATTGAAAACAATTCCAAATTTGCAAAAATTATCATGCATATTTGTTGAAAAATATTTAATATAATATAATGATATAAATTTGATATTTTTAAATCACAATATCACTAATAATGCATATTTCGGATACGAAACCATTGATAAAGCATTGAAGGCATCCAAGGAGTTAACCAACACATAGAAACATGATGTAAACAACACAATTGTGGCGAAGACCAGCTAGCTTGAAAACATGAAATTGCTCAAATGAGCCCATGGCAAAAACAAAAAATAAGATCTTTTATAATTTAGTAATTGCAAATGATAATACAACGAAAAAATAGAGGGTATTTAAAAGACGTGTTTAAAAGATGTCAGTTAACCCAATGACAAAACAAAATAAAAAAACCAAACAATCGAACAACTAAACCATTTTGAAAAACCGTCGTCGGGTTAGTGTTTGGAATATATAAAAAAATGTTTGTTTGTAAAAAAATAAAAAAAAATCATATGTTGGTGAAAATTGTAAAATAAAAATTAAACTTAAAAATATCGTGTCTACCTGGTAGATTAATATGATTTTTGTTAACAAATCTACAAAGATTAGTTATTATATATCAAAAGAAGGTGAAATTCTCATAACTAAACAGAAAAAAAAAATTATACATGGTAATTGAGCATAAAAACACGAAAATGTCAAATAAAATAAATGTTTTGATGATGTGGTAAAAAACAAAAAATTGTAAATGATAATTTTTATAATTTGGATGATTTATGAATAACAAAAACAATATAGTGACCTTTTTGTAATTTGAATTCCTATTCAATAAAGTACTAGAAATGATTCAAATAAAGTTTTTAATAGTCTATTTGATGTAAAAAAGCAAAACCATTATATAACAAGAGTCGAACTTACGTTTGTCATTAAAATAAAACGCAACTACTTACAAAACCTCTAACCAACCAGCCACTTAATGTTTTGTAATTTCTTTAACAAAAACTATATATATATAGTATAAAATAGACTTAATTTTGGGGCCTCAAATCATAATGAGGCCAGGGCCATCGTCCAACTTGCCTACACTATTGGGCTGGGCCTGGATATGTGAAACTCAACCCATATTTCCAACTCAAAATTTTGAATTTTTTGTTTATAATATTTGAAATTGGGTTGTTTTTGGTTTCTTTTTTTCTTTTTATGTTTGTTATAGTTTTAAATTTTTTGCATTTACATAATAGATATGGTACTTTTGTTTAATTTATTTTCTTACTATTTTCCGATTGAAGTTATTTTTTTAATTACTTGATCTTTTGCTCAAATTTTGTCAAACTAATAGATTTTTCTATTAGTATCAACTATAACAAAGGTACAACTCAATATTTATGCTTACTACACATCAATCCTCACACTTATGAAGTAGGTTTAATGGTTTTTTTGTTTCTTATCATTATTAAAGGTTATTTATAACATTTGTCCACCAACCAAATATTAAATTTAAAATAAGTTTTTCAGTCAAATACCTTAGTAGGATCAATCCTCCTTCACTTAGCATCTACTACTTCAACTTATCTTAATCATTCCCCTGCCCATTTATGGTACACCAACGATGGGAAGATGAAATAGTAGGAACTTCTATATTAAACCAAATATTTTCTATTTTTATTTGTTTTATATGTTTATTTTTAAAAAGACGAATATTCTGATTAGCGGTATAAATGATGTGATCATAATAGCAATATGATTGTATGTTTTTACCTTTACTACCAATATACTTGCATTTATTTTATTTTGATTACATTTAATACCAATCGTCTAACTCAACATAAATGTACGTAACTTCTGGTTGAACACATAATCCAAAAATTCACCTTACAACATATTGGCCTTCCGTACGCTTTGATGTTAATTTTTTTTTAACATTCTGATCTAATTATGCATGTTACTGCAACATTTTATTTCTTAGTTAGTTTCCTTCTTTTCTTTGTATATATATAGTTGTAGTTTCAGAGTTGTTGACCACTCCCAGATTTAGTACCTTCACCTTTGATTTAGCAAAGTACACTCTAAAAAAACTAGATTCCTCGATACTGATAAATGATGTTTCTTTTTGGATGTTGACCACTCCCGTATGTACTTTTTCTCTTGAGTTAAATTCAAGAATAACAACCTACTTTCATTGGTCACTTTATTATATATAACATCCTATTTTCACTTCTTAAATTAAGTTGCCCCATTTTTATCGGATCATGGCGTTTGGAACATTATCTTTATGATACAACATTGAAGTTTTTAGTGGTGTAGTGAAAATAATGTGTGGTACTTTCTTTTAGTTTTTTTGGTCGTTTTTAATGTTTTTTTTTTCTTTTTTTAACTTTAGTTCGCTTTTATGTTGTCGGTTTAACTGCAGAAGTAATTGATCGGACTAAAACTATGGCTAATGTATAGAAAGATTTGTGTGATTTTTCTTAAATTCTCCAACTCCAATGTATATTGGAAGACCAAAGTGGTTGATCAATCTGCTATTTTTAAACAACTTTACACATAAAAGTAGAATGTGTGCACTCTTGTTGTATGGATAGAAGGCATCTTTTTGAAGTTTCTTAAATAAACATTTAAGTAAACTTGTAAAGAGATTAAATATGATAAACTCACCTCATTTAATCTTTGATTTTTTTTTTTTTTTTTTCCGAATCACTTAAAACTAGCTAAATGATAAATTCTATTTTAGGGTCGTGATTATCACGGCCGAATAAGTTTCATAGTGTATATATATATATATATATATATATATATATATATATATATATATATATATATATATATATAGTCAAAATTGAAATTTATAAAAACATAATCAATTTTGTATCAAGACTAATGCAAAGAAAGTAGGAATCGAGTATCGGTTGGACTAGCTTGGTTATCGATAAATCAAAAATCAATAAATAAATTTTTTTTTAAAGTTCAAGGTTTTAGTTCTAAAAAAGCATTAAAGTATGGTTCTTTTGTTGACGTTTTTTTATTTTTGGGTTTTAAAAGATTGGGGTTTTTTAGGTTAATGTGTGTCTTTAATAATAATTAATAAATCATTGCTTCAAAAGTATAGATTTTTTAATCGGCAAATCTAATCTACTCCTAAGCTAACAACACCTATTTTACCTATGTCCACGACGGGACTTGAACTCTCGACCTCAAAGAGGGAGGGCACCACCTAATACCGCTGGGCTACAAGCCCTTTTCAAAAGTACATATATTATATGATACTGTATCATAGTAATGGTAAGAATTTCGGTCTGGAATGTTACGATAAAAAACATCATTGTTCAAATGTCAAACTTAAACCTAGACATAACAAATGAAACAAAAGTCATAGTCACAATCCATTTCAGCGGTCAAAATTCCCGCCATACCTAAGACATCTGGTATAGTGCCAGTGCCACCAACCTATACAACCAACATTGAATCCACTCGACACACATCTTTGAAAGTAGTATTCTCTACTTACAATCCTCCTAACACTTTCTTTAGTATACACCATCAAACTTGGCATCAAAATGTAATCACGGATAAAGATCGTTAAAATTTGTGATACTTTGAAGAAGTTAGGGCGTTAGAACTAAGTCAAACTATAAGAACTAAGCAACCAAACAAACGATGTCGTGATGGCCTTAAGAATAAACATCAAACATCTTATTAATGATTGTCTAGCATAATATGTCGTGAGAAAAACCCAAAAAAATTAGTCATAAGCATTGAATGTGTACAAAAACAACAAAGATTTATTTTGAAAAAAAAAAAAATTGAAGAGTAAATGTGCAAAAAGATATTAAGGATTAAATGTATATTAAATGATAAACATATTACCCTTTTAAATCATTTCTTCGGATTTCTCTCAAATAGCTGGTCATAGAAATTAAATGTGTAAAATCGAACGGTAAAAAAAGAAAAATAAATAAATAAGTATGTAAAAATAAAAAATATATATTCTCTTTAACTTATTATCCCTTTTATCATTAGTACAGCATACATCTTTCTAGAACCGGAAAATGACACATATACCCTTCTCAGGATCAACGACTTTACGTGGTACAACTGAGAATTGTCAAAAATCGCGTGCCCAAAACCGTAAATACCTTGGAACCCCGACCCACCACCAATCCACCCGCCCGCCTAGTAGCTCCGCCCTGTTAACCGTCTCTATTCCATATTCCATCATCATTCAAGTCCTACCAGTTAACAATCCCATCCACCGCCATCATATTCATCACAAAAACAAAGGGCTTTTCATCTTCTTCACACGTAGAGAGAGAAAACGCGTCGAGACTCTAGCTTCCGATTGTCAATTGATGGAGATCGCACCGGCGGTGCTAGCCGCACACGACGGAGTCGGAAACGCACCTGATTCTTCATCGGAATCTTCTGCTTCGACTGTTCCCGTTAATAACAATAATATCTCGAGCAACAGGTACGATGATGATGATGACGAAGAGGAAGATGTTTGCCGGATCTGTCGGAATTCAGGAGACGCCGACAATCCTCTCAGATATCCTTGTGCTTGTAGCGGGAGTATTAAGTTTGTTCACCAAGACTGCCTTCTCCAATGGCTCAATCACAGCAACGCTCGCCAGTGTGAGGTTCATTTACCTCTTTCACCTTAATATTAAGTGATTGTTTATACTCTCTTCCTACGTGCTGAATTTTTTGGTTAAAAATGCATTAAGATTTTAGGTTGATTATGCTGTGTGGGCCTCTTCGTTTTTATAAAAATAACTGTGACAACTGCAGACAGATTACATCAATTGACTGCAACAATTGTCCCTTCGTTGGTAAATGAGTTCAATGTGGATGTATTCATCATCTTTAGTGGACATATTTATTTAACTTAATTGAGATAGAAATTATTTTATTACAGAAGAAGTTAAGCTGACATTCTTGTAGACTAACGAGGAAGCAAATGAGTTCAATTGCTTTATTATGTGGCTTTATTGGCTTTTCTTCATTTCTGTTGTCATCATGTGCTGCAGGTTTGCAAGCACCCCTTTTCATTCTCCCCTGTGTATGCCGAGAATACCCCAACAAGGCTTCCTTTTCAGGAATTTGTTATTGGAATGGCAATGAAAGCCTGTCATGTATTACAGTTCTTCCTACGGCTCACTTTTGTGCTTTCTGTATGGCTTTTGACCATACCATTTATAACTTTCTGGATATGGCGCTTGTCATTTGTAAGAAGTTTTGGAGAAGCCCAGAGACTATTCTTGAATCATATCTCAACTACAATCATTCTCACCGACTGTCTCCATGGATTCCTGCTCTCAGCCAGCATTGTATTCATTTTTCTTGGGGCCACATCTTTGAGGGACTATTTTCGACATTTACGAGAACTTGGGGGGCAGGATGAGGATGAAGGAGATAGAAATGGTGCTCGTGTTGCTAGGAGACAACCTCCACAAGCTAACAGAAACCTTATTGGAGATGGGAATGGTGAAGATGGTGGAGGTCAAGGTATTGCTGGTGCTGGTCAGATTATCAGAAGGAATGCAGAAAATGTTGCTGCCAGGTGGGAGATGCAAGCAGCTCGTCTTGAAGCACATGTTGAACAGATGTTTGATGGTTTGGATGATGGTGATGGTGCTGAAGATGTTCCTTTTGATGAGCTTGTTGGTATGCAGGGGCCTGTTTTCCATTTGGTGGAAAATGCATTCACTGTAAGTATACTATTCCATTGCAGTTTTTCCATAAAAAACAACCTTTTTCATTCCAGTGGCATGAACCATTCCATTCCATTCCTTCTCTGATTCCATCACACCAAACACTACCTTATCTTTTTTAACTTTCTTTTACCCTTACAGGTTCTTGCAAGCAACATGATATTCCTTGGTGTCATAATACTCATCCCCTTTCACCTAGGCCGATTGATCCTCTACATTCTTTCATCTGCCACTACTCCAATGTTATCAACCGTTGTTCCCCTCACAGAACAAGCACTTTCCCTAGCCAATATCACATTAAAAAACGCACTAACTGCAGTCACAAATCTAACATCCGATCACAATGTCCTTACCCATGTCACAGAGATGTTAAATGTCAATAATGCCACTGGACTTCAAGACTCTCCAAACAATGTCACAACTCCCATTATTCTAAAAGGGGCAGTTTCAGGAGGATCAAGATTATCTGATGTCACAACTCTTGCTGTTGGCTATCTGTTCATTTTGTCCCTAATTATTTTCTACATTGGAGTTATTGCACTTATAAGGTACACTAGAGGAGAGCCTTTAACAATGGGAAGATTCTATGGTATTGCTTCAATTGCAGAAACAATCCCTTCACTTTTTAGACAGTTCTTAGCTGCAATGAGACATTTAATGACAATGATAAAAGTCGCATTCCTTTTAGTCATTGAACTTGGAGTTTTCCCTCTAATGTGTGGATGGTGGTTGGATATTTGTACCATAAGAATGTTTGGAAAGTCAATTAGTCAAAGAGTTGACTTCTTTTCGGTTTCACCACTTGCAAGTTCATTGATTCATTGGGTTGTGGGGATTGTCTACATGTTACAAATATCCATATTTGTCAGCCTTCTTCGAGGGGTATAATTATATACTATATACTCTACTACCCTTTCACTTTTTCATTTTCTAAAAGGCAAATTACAAGAAAACCCCTATATATATTTGCAGGTTTTGCGAAATGGGGTTCTTTATTTCTTGCGAGATCCAGCTGATCCTAACTACAACCCCTTCAGGGATTTAATCGATGATCCTGTCCACAAACATGCTCGAAGGGTATTATTGTCAATTGCTGTTTACGGGAGCTTAATTGTAATGTTGGTTTTTCTACCAGTCAAACTTGCTATGCGAATGGCTCCTTCCATCTTTCCTCTTGATATATCGTAAGATTGCTTTGTTATCTTCTATGGAATTGCCAATTCCATTCCATCTTGTACTTTTGTTTACAGATTCCTGTTCCATATTTGTAGGGTATCTGATCCATTCACTGAGATCCCTGCTGACATGCTTCTTTTCCAAATTTGTATTCCATTTGCTGTTGAGCATTTCAAGTTGCGTGCTACAATCAAATCAATTTTGCATTATTGGTTTACTGCGGTTGGTTGGGCACTTGGGTTAACAGATTACTTGTTGCCTGAACCTGAGGGCACTGAGGGGCAAAATGGGAATGATTTAGTATATGCTGAAAATCGAGCCATAGTTGGATTGCACCCTCAAGATGTCAACCGGGTTGTGGAAGAAGATGATGGTGATGAACAATCTGATTCAGAGTAAGTTTTTTTTTTTTTTTTTTTTTTTTTAATCATGTTGTCTGGTTGGTTGGATGGAATGGAATCAGAAAGGAACGGAATGAAAAAAGTAATGGAATACGCAAGGTAATGGAATGGATCATGGTTGTTATGTACAATTGGAAAATTAAATTGATAAGTATAGAGAAAAAAATATTATTCCATAAAATTTTTCTTTAATCAAATAAAGCTATATGTATTTCAATTGGTAAAAAGAAATATAAACCAAATATGAAAGATCAAGTAAAATGAAAAACAATGAAATCTTAAAATAGAATTCTAATTCAAAAATAACAAAAAGCGATTTAATTGAAGTTCTGAATTTTTATGAAAAGCAATGTTGTTATTGTTAATTATTTAAATAAAACTAATTGATAACTATAATATATCTTTCCATTACATTCCGACATGATTTTTCATTCCGCTGTGATATTCCATTCCATTCCCTCTTTGATTATTGCATACCAAACATTAGGGTATGGAATAGGTCATTCCATTCCATGGTCATGTTTGATTTGGAACGGATTTCCATGTGAATGGTCCATTCCATTCCATCAGACAAAACAAAACAAACAGATAATTATTTATTTCATTCCATGAATGAATGATGTGAAGTTACATATGTTTAATTTGTGTATATAATGATATTTTTTTAGGAGGTATACGTTTGTGTTCTGTATTGTGTTGCTTTTATTGGTGGCTTGGATGACATTGTTGATTGTGAATTCTGCTTTGATTGTGGTGCCTGTTTCCCTTGGCCGAGTCTTGTTTAATGCAGTTCCCCTTCTTCCTATTGCACACGGCATCAAATGTAACGGTAAGGATTTTTTTTATTTAGGCCAGGTTTATGTTTGACGGAATTGGAATTCGAGATTCCATTCCAGTCCCAAATTAGCGAAATTCAATTCCTTCAAATTCCATGTTTGATGGATTCCATTGGTAAGGATTAATGAATTTTATTCAAGACTTTAGGATGTGTTTGGTTCATCTGATGGAATTGGAATTGGATTTGAAGATTCCATTCCAGTCCCAAATGGCTGGAACTCAATTTCTTCATATTCCTTTAAATTCCATGTTTGGATTCCAATGGTAAGGAATTTGATTCAAGACTTTAGGACGTGTTTTGGTTCATCCGACATAATTGGAATTCGGGATTCAATTCCAGTTGCCGAATTGGCGGAATTCAATTCCTTTGAATTCCATGTTTGATGGAATCCATAGGTAAGGAATTTGATTCCATGTTTGGTTCATCCTACAGAAATGCAATTTGAGATTCAATTCCATAGTGTATGCGATCACCAAACAGATGGAATCCAATTCCCTCAGTTTTCATCACTTCTAGGGATCAGTTAGAAGCAAGTCAATATCATTTTTTTTGTTAAAAAGACCATAATACCCTCACTATATAATATGTTAAAATAAATAAAAACAAAAACTGATTCTACATTGGTTACACTTCATTCCAGACATATATGCCTTCATTATTGGAAGTTACGTGATCTGGACAGCATTGGCTGGAATTAGGTATTCCATTGATCAAATCAGAACAAGGAGAACCACAGTTCTACTAGGGCAAATCTGGAAATGGTGTTCCATTGTCGTGAAGAGCTCTGTACTTTTGTCAATTTGGGTATAACATCATATTTTTCTTCACTTCACCTCACCACATCTAATAACAACATTTAATCCCAATTCTTTTTTTTTTTTATTCACAGATTTTTGTAATCCCAGTGTTAATCGGACTCCTGTTTGAACTTTTGGTAATTGTTCCCATGAGAGTACCTGTTGATGAAAGCCCTGTGTTTTTACTATATCAAGATTGGGCTCTTGGCCTTATTTTCCTCAAGATCTGGACTCGCCTTGTAAGTCTATATCATTCTACTTTCTTAATTATTATAATTATAAACAAAATAAAAAAATCAAATTATATTTACTATTTCTCGAACAGGTAATGCTGGATCACATGATGCCACTTATGGATGAGAGATGGAGAGTGAAATTCGAAAGGGTAAGAGAAGATGGTTTCTCAAGGCTTGAAGCGTTTTGGGTGCTAAAAGAGATAGTAATCCCCATCATGATGAAACTTCTCACAGCTTTATGTGTCCCTTATGTGTTAGCCCGAGGGGTATTTCCGGTATTTGGCTACCCGTTAGTGGTGAACTCGGCTGTGTATAGGTTCGCATGGGTGGGGTGCCTTGGGTTCAGTTTGGTGTGTTTCTGTGGGAAGAGGTTTCATGTGTGGTTTAGCAATTTGCATAATTCGATAAGAGACGATAGGTATTTGATTGGGAGAAGGCTTCATAATTTTGGGGAAGATCATAGTAAGAGTAGTGTTGATGATGTTGATGTTGATGATGATCATGATGATGATGATGATGATGATGATGATGATGATGACAGTGATGGTGATGATGATGAGAGTTTGAATGTGTTGGTGAGAAATGATGAGGTGGGTTTGAGGCATAGACGCCATGTGGCTGTTGAGAATGTAATGTGAATATGACTGGGTTTTAAATTGGTCTGAAGGCTGTGGTTAAAATGTAAAAAGGTAGATTAAAACTAAAGGAGTTGGTGTTGTAAGTAATAAGGTTTTTGATTTATGGTTAAATTTGAGTAAACCTCAAGGTATGGTCGTTTTTGTTTTTTTTTTCTATAAAAACTGTTGTTATTGGTTTAGGTTTTATTAACTTATGGAATGAAGCATTATTTTGGTCTTTTCTATATTTTGTCGTCTTTCATTGGACCCCAAATAGAGGGAAAACACAACACAAGGGAATGAAACTAATAATATACACGCTCGTGAAGGATTGGATTTTAACACAGGTCGAGAGTTTGTATAATGAGAGAAATCATACTTTGTTCGAGTTTACTAAAGGCGACAAAGAATAGGGGTGACAATTGTGTCGTCTTTGGGTTGATGGGTTATAAAAGTTTAACGTGAACATGATTCATAAATATTTGTTTTGTCTTGCACAAGTTTAACCTTGATTAGCCATAAATATGTTAACATGTGTAACCACTAACTAGTTTCATTATATGGGTTTGCGTGTTCATATGGTTAGTTTTATTATATGGGTTTGCGTGTTCATGGGTCAGATTCAGAAACAGATCGTTATAATTGGGTTTGTGGGTTTTAGGAAAAAAATCTAAAGAAAATACAAACATAAATTATAATCACCATACCCAAAAATCCCAAGTCAAACATAAACCAATCTTTTACTTGCTAACAAAACTCTACACAACAATAAACGGTAGTACATAAAGCTATAAGCAAACTGAACATTCGGTGAACTATTCGTAAACCTTTCGGCAATAAGTTCGTTTATTTAATAAATGAACAAACATGAACATAAATTCTCGTTCGTTTAGTTAAACGAACGAATACGAATAATGGTCTTGTTCGTTCAATTATGTTCGTGAACATTCATTTTCATTGTTCGTTTATGTTTGTTTATGTTCGTGAACATTCATTTACATTGTTCGTTTGTGTTTGTTTATGTTCGTTCATTTAAGTTTTTTTTATGTTTATATATGTTCAATTGTGTTTTGTTTACATTACTATATTATATGTTCGTTTGTGTTAATATATGTTAGTTATGTTTATTTATTTACGTTCGTTTAACATGTTCATGAACATAAACGAACAAACAAGAACAATGTAAATTTTTAAACGAATGAACATGTACAAGAAAATTCGTTCATTTATTCGTTTGTATTCATTTATTTGTTCGGCTAACTTAAACCAACGAACATGAACAAATCATTGTTCGTGTTCATTCGACTCGTTTACAGTCCTATTAACACACCATCACTTTTTAAGAAACAAACTATCATTCAACGATAGACCCACCAGTTGATTGGTGGAACCACCAGAGCATTCATGAACACCTCCATGACCTTTGTCACCTTCTCTTTCAAAAATTCCATATAGTCCATCTTCAAAGGCATCCATGTCAAAATATGCCCTCGTATGTGATCTTTTTAAAAAATCAATTAATTCTCAAAAATAAAATATTATAGAGATGCTAGATGTAGCTAGTCATACATCCACACACTTATAGGGACTAGAAACATATTTTACTTATTACCAATATATACAATGACTTAATTTTTAACCTATTATGGCAACCTACTTAAAATTTTCACCCATAGTAGTAGTGTACTAACATTTTTATACCAAAAAAATCAACCTACTTTCATCTTTTTTACCTATAATACAAAGGGTCTTATATTTATTTTGCTCATGTAATTACTTTGCTACCAATATGTATAATGTAGTTTATTTGTTACATATTTGCTATTACCAATACATAATGCAAACATGCTAGTATGCTACTATATTATGAAATATAGGTATGTTGCTATTAAGGGTAAAGAAATGTAAGTAATAAAAAAACTAAATTTCATTGCCCATATTGCTAAAAGAAGTAAAGTGTGTTTTCTGCACTTTGCCCTAAAATTTAAGGAATTGAGAAACACATTTTTGGTCGTTGTAGTGTGTGTGTGTGTGTGTATATATATAGCAAACCAAAAGATTTGTGAGGACTTGCGAACTCATAACTAACTCATCATTTTTCAACACCCAAAACATAAAGTTTCTCCAAATGGTGCGTCTAAGCCATATCTAGGCTCAAAAAAAATTGATAATTTTTTTATTTATTTTCAAATTTTCATGTATGCATAATCAACAATTGTACGGACTGCTAATTGAACTGCTGATGAGCACAATCAACAGTTATATGGACTGCAGATGTGCACAATCAGCAGCCATATGGATTGTTGATGAGCAATTAACAGTCCATATGACTGTTGATTGTGCTCATCAACAGTCCATATGGCTACTGATTGTGCTCATCAGCAGTCCATATGATTGTTAATTGTGCCTATTAGTTGTCCGTACAACTGTTGATTGTGCTCATCAGCAGTCATACAAAAAAAATCGTATATATATTTTTAGCCTAGATATGGCTTAGAAGCATCATTTGGAGAAGATTTGTGTTTTTGATATTGAAAAATGATGAGTTGAATATGAGTTCGCAAATTCTCACAAATCTTTTGGTTCTCAAAAGAACCTTTCTCTCTCTCTTTATATATATATATATATATATATATATATATATATATATATATATATATATATATATATATATATCCTCTCTTCTAATAAAACACTCCTAAACCTACCACATGGCATTTTTCTAGACATGCACCATATGATTTTCCCGCTCATGTATCATTTACGATTTCTAATTAATGATCAATACCACATTTAAATAATTTCGTGTTTTGAATAATAACTTAATCCTTTAATTCTCGGGATGGATATCAGTTACATCTCTTTACAACTAAGGAAAAGTGAGTAAAGAAAGAGCATCAATTAGAAAATATTTCCATAATCCCGATTTACCAGCCAACGATCATGGAGTAATCCTCTTTCCAATTTCCATGTATATGCCCTTGATTCGCTCAATAATTACCTATAACTAAGCGAGTTTAATATTTCAATTATTAATGAGTAATTTCAAACATAAAGTTCTTGCTCTCCAAAAATATAAAGTTTCGATGGAGGAAAGATTGATTCTAAGCCGGTAGGGAAGGTGCTAATGTAGTCAGAAGAATCAATTTCATCGACTTTACTTGTGAGTAATTGTTATATGGATTTATCATATATCGAATAATATATATTGGTATTCCAGTTGTCTTTTTGATACCACAAGAATGAACAATCTGGAGTTTACAAGAGAAGTGATTACAGATAGTTAGTTTATACATGTTGAACTTCTTTTTAGAAGGATGGGGATGTTGAAATGGCCACAAATATAAAGAATTGTAAATTTTTTTAAGAAAATCATATTACAGGTTTTATAGTAGTAAGGTAACTCTATTAACTAATAGCTAGCAATCACTTGTTTTAACCCCTTTTCTCTCTTACTTTTTTATATAATTTCTTGCCTGTATCCATGAAAATACCAATTCATAGTTTTTGGTTTTGGTTGTAAGGCAGTGTAAAAAAAGATACATTGGAAAACCACGGTAGTTTGTAATCTGTTAAAACTGATGCATGACATTGACGCTTCTTCTTTTCAATTTACTTTGTATCTTTGGTTTTATTAGTTTTGAGTTATGTCATATACTACTCTCTGTCATAATTTGCTTCCATAGGTGTTCAAATGTAGTTTGTGCAGGCAATATTGAGGAGCGAGGGGAGATTCTCTTGGGTTCTATATAATTTTATTTTCATTGATACATATTTAAAGCTAATAACATGTAAGTATGACGATATTGTCCTAGAAAATGGGTTTTATCAACTCATTAGTGCTAATAAGCTTCGATTAACAACTCATTAATGGCCTCCTAACAATATAGAGCCAACAGTTGCACTGTTTATTATCATTCATCACTGCTGTTTATGGCCATCATTTTTTTAAACTTTGTTTTAGTTAGATCAATTAATATTTTCACATGTAGATCCCTCTTACTCAAAGAGATGCACATTTTTTTGAATTTAGTATATGTTGCAAAAAGAAAGAAATATAATGAATCCAACACATTGTGTTTTTTTTTTCTTTTGTTGGTAATCACTTTGTTTTTTCCCCATATAGTGAAATGACGATATGCTTGGACTTATGTGTTGCATTGTTAAAGTGGTTATTTATTCAACTCCTCTTGAAAGTAACAAATTGATTGGAAAAATCTTAAAAGTCATCGAATGAGAGGTTTTTTGGTTGATATATATGACAATAACCGTCCTTTTGAACCCATGAGTGGTGTTGGAGAATTAAGTTAAAAGTGTATTATATATATATATATATATATATATATATATATATATATATATATATATATATATATATATTAGCCATATTCCATTTTCATGTAAGATATTATAAACATATGCCTATTTTACACACATTTACTCATAAAAGCTATAGTGTTGGATAACATGTAAATAAGACACTTAGCCAGTAATTTGGAAAACTCACGGATATTAATTTTCACATTCCTAAAGCATCATTTTCTAAACCCTACTAGATCATCTGACTTTAAAGAGAATATAGGCTTATGTTACTTGAAACCCTAGAAATGACCAAAAAAGAGATGCTAACATACACAGCACGGGTTATTCACGATCCGCACAGTGGCAATCAAACTGTTGTTGATTCTTATTTATTTTTTTATTTTTTTGAAATGACAAATATCATCAAAAGGTTGACGATTAGCAAGTAACTAAATCGCGATAGAGAAACAATAAAAGGAGAAAAATATGAAAATAAAAGCAAAACAATTTACAAAAATAAATGAGCAAAAGATGAGCAAATTCATTCAGTCCGGTCACCACAACCATTTTTTCTTATGTATTTGCACCATGGGTATGAATTAACGATAATGGCATCTGCTACCTTTGTTGAAGATACTCGAATATTTTTAAAAATCCAATCGTTCCTGGCAATCCAAATGCTCCAGAGTGTGCAATATAAGACTGTATTGTCAATCAATTCCTGTGTCTGAGAGTTGTGTCACTCATTACCTAAGTTAAGAAATTCTAAGATAGTTGAGCACCTTCTACTTCCCAATCCAAGCCACAATGGAGGAAAAGATGGTTCACCGATTCTAAATCATTGTTGCAAACTGGACACATTTGATTAGTAACATTTAAACCCCTTGCTAATAAAGTATTCTTTACTGGAATCCTATCCATCGAAATCCGCTAGACAAAACACCTAACTTTTAACAGAATTATTTTCTATTGTTACATATACTCGATTTAGAATGATTAAAGATTACTTGCTTGCATAGTTGTCATGTCATCTACATCGAATAAGAATCTAAAAGTTAAAGCAACCAAGTTGAAAAACATCTTCTCAAAACAAAGATAGAAAATCAATTAAAAACGATGCCTTAGGACTCTTAGATTTACCCGTTGACAACCAAATGTTTGACATGTTCACACATTTGGATTTAAAGAAATGATTTTTTTGTTTTAAAACCCACTACTGGTTTGTTCCACCAAACGTTCGGTCCCCATTTTTCTTTTTTCTTTTTTCTTTTTTATTTATTTGTTTATAATTCTTTTTAGTTAAACATTATTTTGTAATTAATTTTATTTTACTTTTAAAATATACTAAAATAGGCAAAATAATTTCATCTACCAATAATAATATATTTTAAGAATTTTATTAATACACTTTCTATTATATAATCCTAAAAAATAAAAAAAAAATTAGGTTAGAAATTGAATAACACATAACATATGTAGTTTGTATAATATAATAAAAATTAATCATGAATAATACCAAAGTTTAGTTTGTGTTGGATTGATGGTGGGTGTTAAAAGTTAGGTTTAATTAGGTTGTGTAGGAAGAAAAATAAATTAATTTTTTAATATATAGTTGGATTGGTTTGGTTGTAAATAAAAATAGTTTTAAACATCCATCTAAAGCTTTGAAAAACTAATGTTAGCAAAAAATTATAGCTTTTATTTATACAGTGTTTGACAAAAAACAATTGTTACCTGTAACATTAATGAAAATGTAAAAGTTTTCAAATACTAGTTATTTTTGTTTAGTTTTTCCACAAAAGTTGCAAGCTCCCAACCAAACACATCCTTAATCTTCAAACCACATAGTTTATGGGTCCTACTAATTAGATCTCAGATTTTCTTAGAGGACCCCTCATTAATGACTTTTTAAGCATAAATTTCCGTGCATTTATAATATTAATAGCTTTTATGATTACCTAAAAGTTAATTTTTTTTGAAACTCGTATTTATCATTTAATTCCTATAAACTTTTTATTTATTATATATTTTATTTTTTTATAATCAAATAATAATACAAATATGTCAATTTTTTTTATATATTTTAATATTTATATAAACCAATAAATAAAAATAAAATGATATTAAATATTTAAATGAAAACTAAGTATTATTATTATATCGTATTTGAAGTCACTTATTATTATGCTTTTATATAAAAATGATTTTAATAAATTGCACTAAAAACCGAAAATAAATTAAATTTTTTTTTGTTTAAAATATTTTATTTTGTATATTTGAAAAAAAATAAGTATATTTTTATTTTAATACTTATTTATAAAAATAATATTCTTTTTCTATAAACAAATCTTTATATTAAGCCATTTTATTATATAATAATTAATTTTATTTAAAATAAAATATAAAATAATCGAGTAATTATTTAAGTAAATAAAAAGGATCCAAATAGCTGAACCCTAGTTTATTTGTTGATTTTGTTAAACAAGATAAAAAAACAATATTATTGTTGTGATAATGATATTTGGGAGTTTAATAAATTGCTCCAAAAATCAACGAATTGACTCCATTTTTTGGCCAAATCGAGAATGAAGGCTTACATATACGGAAGGAAGCCTTTAAAAGCCACCATTCCCAAATTAGCATGAACCAATAACAAAAACACAGATTATTTCAAATCCCAAATAAACACCATCACAACCAATCCATCACATCACATCACATCACATCACATCACATCATAACATCATTCATCAAATATTCAAATATCAAGCCCAACAAACTTCGAAAAAAAACACTACAATCAATCTCTTCACTTACTAACCAAACTTCCTACACCACAACACGATTTTAAGAAACAATCCCATCATTCAAAGACAGACCCGCCAGTTGACTGGCGGCACCACCAGCTGCCGCCTGCTGCTGAGACACATTCCTCAACACCTCCATGGCCTCCGCCACCTTTGCTTTCAAAGCCTCCGGCGACTCCAGCAAATGAAGAACCTCAGTTTGATCCATCTCCAAAAGCATCCCAGTCACCTTTGCTGCTGATTCAGGCTCCAACTGTTCCACCAATGGGTACAGACTCTCTCCCAACATCTATCATTTCATTATCAAAGGGCAAATTCGTCATTTCATCTCTAAATACTTTTTAGAAAATATACTTTAATAGTAATGCTTATAATTTGCAAAACAGACTAAAACTGAAAATAAATCAAAACACAGGGACCAAAATTGTAATTTAATCTAAAGAACTAATAAAAAAAAAAGCATATACCGTTCTCTGTTCTGTGGGGGAAGCATTAGCAAGTGCAGAAGCCAACGCACCAATCGGAATGGGTTGTGTGATTCCGGTGTCTCTCAATGCCATTCCACCCATGTCATAAGGAACAGAAACCATTCCCCCACCTCCAATTCCGGTCATGGAACCATCCGGAACATTCCGTCCAGGGGGGTAACGGTACATCCTCCCACGTGGCATCATCTGTTATTCATTCATTTTAATCAATCAATTAATTAATCCAATTATTAATATCACTGATTTTTTTTTAAATGATATTGGAATTCTAACCTGTTGCTGCATTAGGGGAACGGGCTGCTGGTTTTGCTGACCTGGACCAGTAGCGCGCCTGCCACCTGGGCGTTGACCTTGTTGACCTTGCTGCACCATCGGCATGAAGAAGTTTGGCATTGGTGTGCCACCTGGACGCATACCTGGCACGAGTTGCTGTTGATACCCAAATCCAGGCTGTACATGATTTTTTTTTTTTAAAAAAAAATTGTTTAGTTTTGAAAAGATCTTGAAACATGATTATAATAAAAAGAAAAATTTTATTAACTGAAGTTATTACCTGTGGAGGAATGAATGTAGGCTGAGCTTGACCATAGAATATCTGTTGACCTAAACCTGGCCCACCAGGTGGATACATTGGCATACGTGGCGCTACAGCTGGCGCCATTGCAATTGGGCGCATCTGTGAAAACTGTGCCTATATACAAAAAGGGCAAAATCGTCATAAAAATGTTTATATTTGTTGCATCAAAAGTACATATGTCTCAAGTCTCAACATACCTGCAATCTTGCCCTTCTGTCTTCCTTACGCTGTGCAAGTGCCACATAAAGTGGCTTACTTGCAACCATCTTTCCATTCATCTCAAAAAGCTATTACAATTTACAAAAAAGAAAAGAAATTTAGAAAGAAAAGTATGTAAGAATGATATTGATATTGATAAAGATATTTTACTTACTGCTCTAGAAGCTTCTTCAGAAGTAGAAAAGGCAACAAAACCTGAACCTTTGCTTGTTCCATTAGGATCTCGCATAACCTTGCAAGAAGTGATAGTACCATAAGAAGAAAATAACTCCTTGAGGTTTTCATCATCAATGGTATCATCTAGATTTTTTATGTACAAATTTAACCCTTGTGATTTATCAACTGCCTCTTTCATAGTCTGTTCAAATCGTTGCTTTAATTCCTGTTCCCTTTCGTATTTCTTCTGTGCTTTTCCAACATACCATTCTTTGTTATCAAATTTCTGACCATTAAGCCCTTCCACTGCTTTACCAGCATCCTCAGCATTCTCAAAGTTAACAAATCCAAAGCATTTGGAGTTCCCTTCAGCATCCCTCATCACAACAGCACTTGTCACAGTTCCAAATTCACTAAATGTCTTGTTTAGATCATCATCTGTTGTTGATTCGGACAGGTTTTTGACATAGACGTTAGTAAACTTTGTCTTGTCGACAGCTAGTTCTCTTTCTTGTTTGCGCAAAAAAGGTCCCACGTAGACTTGTTTGTCGTTTAAAAGCATGCCGTTGAGTTTTTCAATGGCTTTTTGTGCAGATTCTTCAGCGTCGTATTGTACAAAACCGTAACCCTTTGATTGGCCAGTTGAATCTGTCGCGATCTTGCAGGAGAGGATATTGCCAAATGTAGAGAATGTGTCGTGTAAGGCCTTTTGGTCGATTGCCTTATCAAGATTCTGTTTTAATTTACATTGTTCATACAAGTCAGTAGGTAAAGAAGACTAGAAGAAAGTAGATACAGTGATTTACATACCTTGATAAATATGTTTCCAGAGCCACTTTTGCGTACGCTTGGGTCTCGATGAGAATACATTATTCTGATCGCCTTCCCATTCAAAGGTGTGAAGTTCAGCACCTCCATTGCCCTTGCAGCTGTTGTCATGAACATAACAGAAGGAGTAAGAACTAATGTTTTCAACAGTGTTGACATCAAAAGGAACTGCAATATCTAACTATGAGAAGGTGAATTTGTTAAACAGCACTAACCATCTTGAGGATTCGCATAGTTGACATAGCCATAACCAAGCGATCGTCGAGTCGACAAGTCCCTGCAAACTCGAACAGAAACCACTTGACCTAACTGGTTAAACAGATCATACAACTGCGAATCCGTCACATTCCACTCCAGATCCCCAACATACAATGAAGTCGGCACAAACTGCTGAGCACCAGCAGGAGCAGCACCACCGACACCAGCACTCACCGCCTGAGGTTGAACTTGAACCTGAGCCGCCATCTCAAAACCCTAGAAATATTTTGCCTTTTCCCCAAATTTTCTGATTTTTTTGGCTTTTTTAACTTCCCTCTCCTTTTATTGATATGAATCCAAACCTAGATAGATAAATTGCCTGCAAATCAGAACGCTTTTCCAACTCCGAACAAAGCAAACCACAGAAACCCTAGAAACTTCCAATTTTTTATTGTTTTTTTTAATAAGAGAGATAGAGAGATAGGAGAGGGAAGGATATGAATATAAGGATAGATAAGTCGGAGATCCGACCAGGGAACCGCCTAGATCGCCGCCTGGATACGGCGGAGGAGAGAGAGGAGATGTAGATAAGAGAGGTTGGGAGTAAAAGTTGGGATAGGAGGGTTTGAAGGGGAAGATAAAAACTGCAGGCTGCAAGTTGAGGGCTTTGGAGACGCGTGTGCTATGTGGGCCCCGATTGTTGTGTGTCAAAGTCCAAAACGTTATGGTGAAACCTACGAGGTGGAGGCACGATCTACGCCGTTGGATCTATTGACAGCTGGGTTTATGACTACTTGGTCAGCATAGAAAACATAGAAAACATGTTTCCTCCGCATTTTCAAAATAGATATGTGTTTTTTTTAAGAAAAAATTATATATTTATTTATTATTTTATTTATCTATTCTAATAAATAACGTTTTTTTTTAGCATATATTACATTTTGATTCAAATTGTCTAATATTATTTTATGTTTATTTTGATTTTTTTTACATATCAATTTATAAATTTTTCTATTTCAATAAATCCATATAATAATTTAATGTTATAATTATAATAAAAATATTTTAAATTAATATTAATTTTATTAAAGGACTTACATTCTTATTTTAGAATTCTTAAATTAAAGTACATTAATTTATTTATTTAAATTTAAAAGATAAAAAAATCAATTTTAATAATTTATTATTTTTATGTATTTTCTTATAAATCTAAATTTCTTAAATATTTAGACATTTATATTTATTTATTTTAATTAATCTATGTAATATATAAGTCTTACACTTAGTAATTATATATATTATATTAAATCTCGTGGGGTCTGGGAATAAGAATATTTAAGGAGTCTGAATTTGACCACATAAGTTTTGCCTTTTACATTGACCACATAACTTTCCATAGTTATATTTTTCCATTTTCCTTGCTTCGAAGATGTTTCAATTTTTTGTTGGTCTTAGTCAATGGTTGGTAGTGGATCCAATTACGTCTCTTCCACTTATGATACACCGCCTCCAACGTTTCCTCCACCGCTTCTGCATCTAATTACTTTCCTCCATCTCGGTATCATTCTATATATATATATATATATATATATATATATATATATATATATATATATATATATATATATATATATAATTTCTCTCCATAAAGGTAGCCTGCCACCACCACTGTCATTCTGATAGTTGTCTCTCAAACCCAACTTCACTTCGTGTCCTAATCCTCACTCTAGTTCGATCTAGCGATGTGACTCCTCTTATTTGTGTCTTCAAGTTCGATTGTATGCCCTAATCCTCACTCTGTATCTATTTGGATTTGCTTCGTCCGCGACCCACCATTACCAGAAATTGAGAGGGAAGGGAAAAGATGAAGCGAAATATTGAGGGTGAGTCGAACAACAGCTGGAAGTGGGAGGTGAATGGTTTTCTGGATTATTCGACACACATATTGTTCTTCATCATCTGCTCCGACACCGTCTCCATCTTCTATTTCTTTTAGAAAAAGGAGCCACATCGACTTAGATCAACTCTTTTTTTCCACATACTATGTATTCCGCCTGCCTTCTCTACTTTGTTTCTGATATTGGAACTTGTTTTCCTTATCAGCTTTGCTCACCACATGTTCGATGAAATGCCTTTCAAACATTCATAACGATTATAAGCAACTCATGACTGTCCTGCCTCTAGAATTGGTATATTTGTCAATTTTTTTATTCGTTTTATAAGGTTTAAACTCTAATTAACCATTCAAAACAAACGGACAATCATTTTACATTGCAGGTTCTGATTGGTTGATTGGTCACTGATTCGATTTTTGATTTTTCAATTTCTCATTGTTGTGTGCTTATTGTTATGTTGGATAAATTGGTTATTGTTGGATAGGGAGCATGTGTGAAGGTAGGAATCAAGTTGAGTTAAGGGTGTTTTAAAGTAAACTGATGTTTTGTTTTTCTGTCCATAGAATTTTGTGAATAGAAATCACTATCTTGGAGAGTACAAAGGACAATTTATTAGGAGCTTCTCAAAGGTACTGCCTGAAATTACAAAGAGAAAATCAGGGCACATATATTTGCTCCTGGTGGATTGTTAGGATGTTCCAAATTTTCGGATGATATCTCAACAACTAAAAGCCTGTGTAGCCTCTTGATACTGAAACATGTCATCATCCTCTTCAAACAACCTATATCTCTGTACCACAAATGTTACAACCATCAACTATTCATTTTATATATGATATGAATGAGGTCACTGCAAAACAATATCAATTTTACTTGGATATAAGAAATAGTTGCAATGATTTAGTTTAAGCATACAAGCCTTTCATTTGTTTCCTTTTTTTCTCATTTAAACATATAATTCTTCTTCTGTCCTATTTCTCCTTTTACTTTACGTAAAACAAAAATAAATGTAAAGTTAAATGACAATATATTACAATTTGCTCTTAAGAATCTTTATCTACCTATCCTTGCATCTACAGGCCCAATTAATATTATTTCATCTTTAACTTGTTTACTTTATTCATAACAATTTAATTTTGATCCAATTTGTTTGACATATAAAATTCTAATGGTAGTGGTATTAAACAAAATGACCAAGCATGATGGGTTCTAAATTTTTTCATATTATGATACATTTTATATCAATTTTTTAAAACTCATAACAAAAAAGGTTTGAAATTAAAAACCACAGACTAAAACTATAATTTAGTCAATAATCTAATATGGTAGACTGGTCAATGCTGACTTGCTGACTTATTTGTCGCGTGTATATATCATGTAGGCATGTAGGTAAATGACCAAAAGCCCCTTGAAGAATAAATAAGTGAGGGGGAAGCTTGTGCAAACTTTATGTAAATGAAAAAAGGTCCCTATTAAATCATCATCAGACAATGCACTTTTGTGTGATTATTATTATTTTTTTCACTACCTCGAAATCTTTACAGAAAAAAGAGATTAATAGGAAAATGGCATGGGGTTTTGAGGGGCAAAGTGGTCAGGTGCAAAAGGTCCGAATTTTTTTATATACTTTATACATATATTTATTAAAAAATTATAATAATGATAAAGGCTTTTTTCCTGAACCGTCTTGAGCATTTGACTTAATTTGAATTCTTGGGGAAAATGGAAAATTTTAAATAAGATAAAAAGGTTAGTGTTAAGTTGTTAAATGTTATTTTTTAATTCATTTGATTATCAAATATACTTTTAAGTATTATATGTATTATGTGGTTGTTTACTGATTATGATGTAAAGAACGTTTCCCAGGGTGTTGTATGTTGCACCATGTTGAAGCAGAAAGTACAACGATAACGGATGGTGTATCGCCGATCCCATGTAAGGATTCAGTGGGGATTTCCACCCTCAAAGATGCATATAGTCTGAGATGTGTGTTAAACAGTTCCAATTTAAAAATTACGGACTAAGTGGAAATTTTGAAGTATTGTCGACCCGGGACGAAGCCCGGTCTATGTACTTGTATGTTGACAAGTTTCATCTATGCTTAATCTAATGCAACTGTCTAACACCGTAAATTTTCAACAAAAAATTATTTTAAAATCACATAATTCTCATAACACATTTCACAAAACTCTTATTTATTTAATTTACAAAATGCAACTCCATAATTGTTTGATTAATAATCCAGGATCCTCAAAACATAACTATTTATCTGGTGTGTACAATCAAGTCGGCCCCTTCCTGCAATCCTGAGAAGAACCTGAATCACATATCACATAACATGGTAAGCACGAAGCTTAGTGAGTTCCCCAAAATATCATATATATCTCATTAGCCTCTCATTTATATACTCAGATAAGACCCTTCGGTGAATGTGTCTCAGTGGGACCCTCCGGTCCTAACTTAGTAAGCTCACAATAATACACAACATAAATCACAAAGACATAAGGCAAAATTTCACAATACTTAATATAAGCACATAAGACACCTCATCCACACAACGATACCACACATGGTAAGTATAATGAGAAGACTCACTTCGGATGATGAACAGATCCTATAGTTGTTGTTGCTACACCGACCTCTAACGTTGGACCAAAATCCACAATTACCTAATTAAGATTAAGTCTAAATCCTCACTCTTTATGTCTAAAGGTACTCCACTAACAGCCCATCAATAACCTAAAACTCATGGGGACCACTAAGGTCCATTAATGAATGGGCTCTCCCGAGGCCCAACTCTCAAGTCTAAGTGACAAGCCTAACACAAGTCCCAAGGCATATATATATATACTATTTCTCTGTTCAAAATCTTTAGTACACAAGCCCAAAGATACAGGCCCAACCCTTAAGGCCCAATATAAGATCTAGCCCAAACAGCCTACAACGAGGTTGATGGGTTTTAGTATACTACAACATCCTATGGTGCACATACAACCTTAAATACCTTGGATCTATGTTTTCACTAATTATACATGCAAATGGTTTCCAAGGCATTAAACATATAACTAGCACGCAATTTAACATAAACAATGCAAGATGCTAGTTAGGATAACATACCTTTTTGTTGTAGCTTGATTCCATAGAGCTTAAGAGCTGAGTGCCCCAAGTGTGACACCTCAAATGGTTCACACAACACCAGCAACGACTTGGAATAACTTGAGAGAAAAGTCCTTATACTCAAAATCGGCTAGCCCTCTCATATGAATCCTTTAGGGCCGATTTCTTGAGCTATGGGGTCTTTATATATTATGGTTATTAGGGCTACACCATGTAACTCATGTCTCTCCATATTCTTCATGATCCATGGGTTAAAACCTTCATGGAGTATCAATGGGTTACTCCATCGGTTTAGCCCAACATGAAGAACTATGGATCATAAGCCCACATATATAAGAATGAATGATTTACACAATCAATCCCCATATATTCAATTAGTATCTTTTAATCACAAAATTAATTCCAAATTAAATCTTGATTAATACTAATTAAATAATATGATTTCATATTAATATATTAGAACTTATAATATATTAATAAGTCATAAATATCCTTTTCTCACAAAGGTCTATCCAAATCGTTCTGATGTCATGCAACCCAAATGGACCATGCCAAGTCGAGTCGAATACATACCATTAATAGTTATGGACTTAGACACTAATCCAACAATCTACCACTTGGATAAGTCTAAAACTATTATTGCGTATGACTCCAAGATCCGGACTACCAATCGTAGCTCTTAAAAGCCGTTGTCGAACTCTGAACAAATCACTGGTATGTCTATTAGATAAGTGATCATATATTCCTCCATTATAGATATCATATGGACCGAGACATGGATTATAATCATTCTCTCTATCCATCTGTTGTTTCCTGATTTCCGATTTATGACGACTGACTAATTGAACAAATTAAATCAGTCCAGGCCCGGCCGAGCACTTACGTTTGTCATCACTAAATCATCGAGGGCCCACATATATATCTTTTATCCCTCAAAGGGTAAAAGGAATGGATAAACTTTGACTCATATGCTTGCTCTATATACTCATCAAATCACACACAAAAATGCGTTTTATAACACCAAGTTACTAGTACGTTTTCACATAATCAATGTGTAACCGACTTGTAGACTGCAACTCATATCTCTTGGTTTGAAGAATATAAGATATTATCGTCTCATGATCACTCGTGATCAAATCCATGAAGTAAGTCAAATAAGTGTGGGTTTAATCCAATACTTGAATCTCATTCTAGGAGCACTCATGAACATTGCAGCTATGTCTAGGCCATCTAGACAAACTACAGACCCATTCATGACAGTCTTGCCTCATAACTACTTCCAAAGTATGATTGACTGTGGAGAGTTTGAATAACCTAGTTATTTGGGAAGTCAAAACATGCAAAGTAAAACACAAGAATAATACTAATCCTATATGGCCCCAAGCACATTTGAGAGTAAATAGAACACCTTTTATTTAAACACCATATTGATTATTGATTATTCATGTTGTAATGTTTCGAATGATCAACTTTATACCTGAATTAAAACTATCGTCATGCCATGCTCCAAGCATGCACACTATGTTTGTCCAAACAATAGTTATCTCATACTCCAAGTATGCACACTATGTTTGTCTATGATCCTTTCTTTGTGAAATATACCAATTGAACATCATTCCAATGATGCTTATTTCACAATCCAAATCCTCATCGTAAATGTAAGAATTTCAAATTCCTACCATTTACCGAAATCTGTTAGATTCTAAGCTTATATTCATTGATCCTCTTTTAATGACTATGCACAAAGTCACAAAGACTTGACAACATACATTTACAAAGTATTCCAATGGAGAGCAATTTCATGGAAACGAAGTTTCAAATTCAGAGTACATTACTTTGAACATCCTTCTTGCATTAAGTTTTTCTAATCTTACGCAGATTGAATAACTTCCACCTATGGAGATATTTCCACATACCCATTTTGACTATCACTTATGAACAAGAGTTGCCTCCTTTCAGAATATGTCAATATGGTCCTTCCAAAAATTCACAACATACT